GAGGGTCCCCAGGAGAGTCCCCCCCTTCCCCGGGGAGGGTCCCCAGGAGAGTCCCCCCCTTCCCCGGGGAGCGCGGCCAGGGCACAGAAGGGAAGAGCGAGAGACACTCGCAGGGAGAGGGGGAGGCTTTTGCTTTGCAAACAGGAAGCTGAAAAGCCTCCCGGAGCCAGTGTAGCTTGTCTGATACCACCAGAAATACACAACCACGTCTCTGGGTGAACCCTCCTCCCCTTCCTCTGGGTCTCCGCCTTGCCAGAGGCTTCGGGGCTCGAACTCCTCGGCTAATTCCATTTCCCCTCTGCTCAGCTGTTGAATTGCTGCTGTTGACTCTAGTAAAAGAATCTCCCTGGATCCTGGGGATTTGTTTGTCTGACACAAAACACGCTCTCCATTTTGCTGATCGACAGGCTCAGAGGGTAGATGTCTTTCTGGTGGTTCCTAACACCGAAAAACCTAACAACGTAGTTAGTTGGTTGTGCAAATATTGTAATCAAAATTAGGGTCAGACTTCTGTCTGTCTGCTTCCGTGTCTAGGTTGTAAGACTCCCTTCCCAAAACTACAGGAAAGCACCAAGCCCTTGGGTTTTCATTTCTGCTCTTCTCTTTTAGTTTGGTTTTGCATGGAATACAGAGGACAAATCATTATACTGTAAAAGGATATTTTTGATACTTGTGAAAGTGGTAGCACAAAGTGACAAAAGCCAAGAAAATCAGTTGCTTCCTGCGTTGGTAACAGTTTGCTTCACAATGAAAAACTTGAAACAATGGTTTAATGTAGCAGTGGAGTTAACAATGGATTTAATAGCTAAGATAAAGCTGGATTTTTTTTGGTTAAATCATATAACTGTTTTTTGTGTACAGTATCCTTCATTTTTATGTTTTTAAAGATACATTTGAACATATGTGCTAAGATAGACCTCTCATCAAGTTAAACATTTGTAAAAAAATTGTTATGGCAAAGAGTAGGGACAAAATCTGCTTTGTTGTACTCACATAATGTTACTGGTGAGCTTTGACCAAAGGCTGAAAATACTTTCTGTTCTGAAGTACACTATGTGTAACATTAAAGAGTTATATTTCAATCTGATAAAATGTTCCATTCAAAGTTACTTTTGAAACTTTAAAATATTTCTTTAAAGCTGAGTGTGTGTGTTTCAGTTGTGCAGAAAATAGTTAATACTATCAAACAGTCACTTGCCAAGTTTGTTTCCTATGTGTCATATTTTTAGATGCAAAAACTATACATAGTTGTTTTGGGCGGGGGGAAGGGGGATTGGCATGTGAAAATAGGAAAACTTTTTTTTCTTGAAATGTGTTAAATTCCAAGAGAGTAAAGGAGTAAATGTTAAATTTTTTTAAAAAGAGGAACTTACTGCAGAAATACAGAGCTGTTATCCAGTTCTGCCCTCAGCTTAGGCTGCAGATTTTGAAAGTGATGCAGTCATTAAAGAAATGATCAAGTAGAATCAAGTAATAAACAGATGTGGGAGGGAGCGTTATTTCTGTGCTGCCTTTTTTTTTTGGTCACTGAAAACATATTGTTCTCTCTTATCGAGTGAAGGAGACAGTCCAAGGAGAACTAGTTTTTTTCAATGTGTTGCCCTCCCCTTCTTTCATCCCAGGTTCACAGACATTGGGGGAAGGGAGAAAGAGACATTGTAATAGTGTACCCACAAAAGCTCATCATCTAATAAACCATCTTGTTAGTCTTTAAAGTGCTACATTGTCCTGCATTTTGTAATAGTGTAAGCACTGTAAGGCTATGGGTGGTAACCTAGGAACTATAAAACCCTCCCACCAGGTGGTGCTGACACACATACTGATCTGCCCTTTAGCAAGCTGGGCAGCTAATGTCAAGGTTTTAAAAGGATTATTGCCATTTAAAGATACACACCTTGATTTTATTCTTTTGAGGGAGTCAGAATCATCCAACAATGAAGATGTTTGTAATCACCATCCCCACAATTCTCACCAATGCATCCTGTTCCTAAACTCAAATGAGAAATTATGCAATTTCCACTGTTCAGAGATTGTGTCCACTAAAGAGCAACTATCACAGAATGGCTATTTTAAAATAGTAACAAGGAACAGAGGAGCATATAATAAGGATGTGAATGGTTAACTGATAAGCCTCACCCAGCCTGACTGGAGTTGTTTGCAGGGGCAGGAGGGTGATTCAGCTGGGCTGAAACTACGTGCCCCCTACCTTCCTCTCCCTTTAATCAATTAACCGGTTAAACTATATGTTTAACCCATTAACCAATTAAATGGGATTTTACATCCCTAGTATAGAAGTGACCATACTTGATTATATCTGTGGTCTATCTAGATTAGGTATGCTATTGGGAATCAGAAATAACCTGCTCCAGGGACAATCTCCTAATCCCAAATACTGTTGCTAGCAGTAATCTTACTTCCTGAAACATAAGGAATAGAAAATAGTTACGGTAATTGGGTGGGGGGCAGAGGTACACAGTTTTCACTTAATGAATTTTGGCTACAAAGTCTCTTCAGTCTTATCAACAACTTTGTTTTTAAATGTTTTTAATGTAGGTAAAATAGTATACAAATGTAAAATTCAGATGTTGTATATAGGCATTAAACAGTGACAAATCTGGACCCCATACAAAATAATACATTATTTGTAACTGGATTAAAGTACTTTTCCTTTACCCAGTTCAACCTGGCTAAGGCCAAAGTTGTTTTCTCTGCTTCTGAGCTGGATTATTTGGATGCTGTACTAGTTAGCTTTTCAAAGAAAGGACTGTGGAAAATTGCAACCCATCCAAAACTCTGCTGCTCATCTTCAGACTGGTTCCAGGAAACATCAACACATTATTCCAGTTCTTTGGTTCTTTGTGAGCTAATCTGCCTTCCCATTTCCCACTGCATTGACTGCAAGATTCTTCTGGCACTTCAGCCATGTTATTTAGTGACCTTTTTTCAGTGTTACAAGCCATCTTGAAATCGCTACTCTACCAAATTAAATGACCTCTGTATCTTATCCTATTGTACTGCTGTTTTTGGATGATGGGTTTATAATTTGTTATCCATTGAAATGCCACTCCCGTAACTATAATTATTTTATACTCATTAGAATCTTAACTTTGCACTGCAACTCACGTGTTGAAGTTTACTTTGTCCTAGTTTGAAGTTCTTCAAAACCTTTTTTAAAGTAAACTGTATATATCTAACTTTATCGATTCATTATCATCATATTGACAAGTTCCTATTAGGGATGTAAAATCCTGTTTAGTTGGCTAACTGGTAAACATATTGTTTTAGCTGGTTAACCGATTAAAGAGAGTGAGCGAGGAGAATGGCGCTCCAGCCCCCACAGCAGGCAGGGGCTGCTCCAGCCTGGCCAGAGCTGCCCCTGCCTGCAGCTTCCCCACCACAGGAAGGAGTTGTACTTGTTGGGAAGCTGGAGCAGCCCCCGTTTGCAGCGGGCCAGGGTGCCTAGCAAGCAGGGGCTGCTTTGGCATCCAGGTCAGAGCAGGCCCCTGCCCATAGCTGGTGGGGAGCCGCTCCAGCCCCACTGGTTAACTTTAACCGGTAAGCCTCATCCATTAAGGGTGAGGCTTATGGGTTAACCAGTTAAACCTTCACATTCCTAGTTCCTATGCCAAAGACTAACATCTAAGAACCAAAGAAGATGCAGAGCTAGAATTAAACATAACACAAAATGTTATTCAGATCATAGACGTTAGTGACAGAAGTCAAATAACCTATTAGATCATCTTTTTTTATTTCTCAGCCGGGAAAGACTATGACAGTTCAGAGTTAGTTAAGAACTAGTGAAAACATGACTTATAAATACAGTATCTTCCACTACTGTTTTTCATACTCCTTGGCTGTGTCTACATTGGCCGGATTTTGTGCAAAATCTTCCAGCTGTCTAAACTGGCCACGAGTTCTTGCGCAAGAACACTGACGATCTAATGTA